GAAGCTGTATATCATCTAGGTGAAGTTGTACATTATGTAGGTGCTCAGTGGAGCCTTTGGTGAAATACTGGAGGGCTGCCGGTGTCACCGGGGATCCTGCATCGTGTTGTAAAAAGAGATGCCTCACCTTGTTTCTGGTCCTTGTGGTCAAATAGCTTTATTTTTGTTTCCTCTGACCACAGAACTGTCCTCCAGAAGGCCTTTTCTGGTCCGTGTGATCAGCAGCAGACTGTAGTCGAGCCTTAAGGTGTCTCTTCTAGGCGATGGAGGTGGACACTGTGGACACCTGTGTTCCAGCAGCTTCTGGTTCATGCAGGCCCACTTTTGTTGGTTTTTGGTTGACTCTTTAACTTCCTGACCAATCCTGTCAAGATGTGAAAGCGGCTTTCTTTACTTGTTCAAGTCATTGATTCGATTTTTCAGATCTGTGTTGAGCTCTTCAGATTTTAATATTAGTATGCAGTGGTTTTGCTCCAGGGCTTGTTTGAAGCCGGGACCCGGTACCCATCCCCAGCAGTAGGACACAGTTAGCCATAGGCTGAGTCCTGACCTTTCCTTTCACTGTTTAAGAAGTCAGAGACAGACTGGGCTGTTGGTTGTTTGGACACTTGGATCAGCTGCTGTTGGTCTCGTGTAAATGGCTGCTGACTGGAACGCCGTCCAGTTAACGGGTTAATGAGGCCGGTGGTGTTCATGTCCAGTCTGGTAGGGCTCCTGTGAAAACATTTGCTCTGGAGGCTGAATCAGCACATGACTGAACTGTTGGAGCGTTTCTCTACCTGCTGATGAACGTTGTTATAAAAACCTGTCAAACTGTGGATGAGGAGCAGTGATCAGATGTACGGTGGAAAGTTTACGTCCACTGGAGAAAAACAAACACAACCTTTTATTTCTCACCGTCTGACATTAGATCAGACCAAATGTTTCCTGTTTCAGCTCAGTCAGGATCACCAGCATTATCTCTATCAGCTAAACACCAGGATAATTAGACAGAGAAGGTTCTATGACTTTCTTCAGAGTCAGAAGTTTCCATCCATCTCCTCAGTATCTGGTCGCGTTGCTTTTAAACTCTATGACTTGGGTCAAACATTCTGGGTTTCCTTCCACAAGCTTCTCACAACAGTCTGATGAGTTTTGGCCCATTCCTCTTGACAGAACCGGTGGAACTGGGTCAGGTTTGTTGGTCTCCTTGCTCCACTACTGTTCTCCAGGATGGAGATCAGGGCTTTGTGATGGCCACTCCACAACACTGACTCTGTTGTCCTGAAGGCTCTGTGTAGCTAATCTGGCGCTATGCTGAGGGTCATTGTCCATCTGAAGACCCAGTGGTGAGGCGTAGTGACCTCAGTGTATGTACACTGTTTAGACAGTAGGAGGGTTCTGATAGTGGTGATGAACCCAATCCTGTTGATCTAAATGCTCTGATCTGGTGCTTTTCTACCTTGGTGGTACTTCAGTGTTTCTCATTCACCCATTCACACACATTCATACACCAGCAGCGACAGAGCTGCCACGCTGTGACTGTGGAGGGGCATCGAACCGTCACCGAGTCGCTCCACCACCGAGTCGCTGCTGCCCGTCCAGCATGTCCATCTACCTGATGAGAGCTGAGGTGTTGTGCAGCGTCCTGTTATCAGTAACGCTCCTCATCTCTTTCCTCTTCTAGGCGCCTCTCTGAAGCTTCTCCATTCACCACTCATCATGGTGGACTACTACCAGGTTCTAGGAGTGCGACGGGATGCGTCTGCTGATGACATAAAGAAAGCGTGAGTTGATCAAGTTGTGAGATTGTGTGATCACTGTGATGTCCTCCAGAAGGCTAGGGAATCAGTGAGTTTACAGGGTGCTCACCTGTCAGTGAGCTTCATCAGCAGTAAAAACATCGAGTGTTGTCAAACCAGCAGTCATCAGGGTTGGACTCCTGCTCACGAGCCTTCGATGCTCATCCCGTTCTTCTCCCCCGTCCTGTCTACTGCTCTGAATAAAGACATAAGTCCAAAGAATAAATTTAAAAAAAAGAACAATTGTAAATGTGCTGTATCGCAGAGAGACGCGCTGACTGTTTGTGTTTCTTGTCATCAGTCACAGTGACATCAAAGTTACTGAGCACCATTCTTTCTGTTCTACATCAGTCCGGTCTCATGAAGCACCTGTCTCCTGCCTTGTGTCCTGCTGCAGGTACAGGAAGCAGGCTCTGAGGTGGCATCCGGATAAAAACCCAGAGAACAAGGAGGAGGCTGAGAAGAAGTTTAAGGAGCTGTCAGAGGCTTACGAAGTCCTGTCAGATGGTTTGTATTCCAGCTGTCTGAGCACACAACCAGCAGACAGTGCTAACAGGAGTCGGTTAGAGGGCTCGCAGCAGCACAGGGCGGGAGAGGCCTTTCCTCTTCACTGAGTCCTGTGTTTCTGCCTTAGTAGTTGGTTCCTCACCCTCATTCTACTTCTGAGACTTTTCACATTCCTCTTTCAGCCAACAAGAGGAGCATATATGATCATTACGGCAAAGAGGGCTTGACGGGGAGCAACGGAGGAAGAGGTTGGTGCTTCCTTTAGCTGCAGTAGCTTCAATCTGTTCTCTCCCTCTGTGGCACACATTCACCATCATGCAAGTCTGAGAGGATGTTTCCTTCTGAACTTGGACTGGGGGGTTTAAATAATGACTCCTCTGTATTGTATTCCACTGTGGATACAGAATGCTGGTGTTCCTGGGAAGCTTCAGTCATTGCAAGGAATGACTGTGACGTTAGTGGAACAGCTCCTAGACATGCAGCAACCTGCTTCAGCCGCTGTCAGATGATAACCGTTCATAGTTCAGTAAACTGAAGTTAAATTCACAGCATGAAACACTAGAGAGAAAGCTTGTACATGACTCTTTCCATCTTCCCACTGTTACTTACAGCAGCATGAGGTGTAGTTTTAAACTCCCACTGAGACTCACAACCTGCTTGCTCATGCGTCATAATGCCTGGTGTAGCCTCCATGAGCTGCTGCCGGTGGCTGGACGTGCAGCCTGAATCACAGCCTTCCATCAGATGAGTCCCAGCAGAGCCCTGCTGCTGCACTGTCCAGCAGTTTGATGATATGTGGAGCAGATGGAATAAACACAGAAAACGTTGGGTTTGTTCTGACTCTGGTGGCCAAGTCTACTGTGTTAACTTCAGGTTTTACTCACGTGACGTTTCAGGGAGCCACTTCCACAACGGAGAGCATTTCCACGAACCGTTCACATTCCGTAACCCAGAAGACGTCTTCAGGGAATTCTTCGGCGGCAGAGACCCGTTCGCAGACTTTTTTGGTAAGACGTCCTGTCCAGGTGAAGAAGTTCAGACGTCACTGAAGCAGAATCCTCTGTACCTCCTGCTGCAGCTTTAATTCACGGAGACAATCTCACTTCTCTCCTTGTTCTTCTGTCTTCTCAGGTGCAGATCCTTTCAGTGATGATCCGTTCTTCGGCAGCAGTCGGCGGCAGCAGAATCGGGCAAGTCGCAACCGAACCAGTGGCTCATTTTACGGGGGCTTTGTTGGGTTTCCTCCTTTTGGTGCTGGCTTCTCACCGTTTGACCCAGGTGAGAAACGCACTGATGCAGATTCAATTAAAAAAACGTATAAACTGTAAAATATCACACATTGCTGCAAACTGTTCCTGCCTGTCTAAATGAGAGTTTGTTGTCTTCATCTCAGGCTTCGGTTCCTTCGGCTCCATGAGCACCATGGGTCACATGGGCCACATGGGTCACATGACCACTATGGGCAGTCTGGGAGGTGGAGGCTTCACCTCTTTCTCCTCCACCTCCTTTGGAGGAGGAGGTGGAGGAAACATGGGCAACTTCCGCTCAGTCTCCACCTCCACCAAGATCATCAACGGCAGGAAAATCACTACTAAGAGGTGATTATTGACCAAGTGGGAAGTCACAGCGACTCACAGCCGCCATGAGAAGCTGCACAGCTCTCGTGTTGTTATTTACGTCATTATTTTCTATGCTGATGTTCCATCTTCAAGAACCAGACGTCATCAACGGAGCGCTCATGGTAGTAAGCTGAGAAGAAGGGTGTATTAGTCACTGAATGTGTCATGTTGTGTTTTCTAAGTTAACTCACATGTGTCCCCTGAGAAGGACCAAAGTCCCTCATTCAGCGTGCTAACAGCACTGTGGAGATATTCTCAGGTGGATGTTCTGCAGCTGAATTCTTTATATCACAGCTGAGATCAGGGCTGCAGGTGTCTCGGTGGTTAGCACCGTGGCCTCACAGCTGGAAGGTTGCCGGTTGGCGTCCCGGTGAGGACACCCGGGATCTTTCTGTGTGGAGTCTCCATGTTCTCCCCGTGCAGCGTGGGTTCTCTCTGGGTTCTCCGGCTTCCTCCCACAGTCCAGAAACATGCTGAGGTTAATTGGTGATTGTAAATTGTCCGTAGGTGTGAATGTGAGTGTGCTTGGTTGTCTGTCTCTAAGTGTAGCCCTGTGATAGACTGGTTACCTGTCCAGGTGAACCTGCCTTCACCCTGAGTCAGCTGGGATAGACTCCGCCCCCCATGACCTAAGTGAGGATGAAGGTGTAGAGATGATGGATGGATTTCCTTCTCCTCTGAACTATGCAGACAACACTGTTAGCTTCTTCCCCATCTAGAGACTTGTTGGTGAACAGTTCCACCTTAAGATTTCATGTCCAGTATCAGTTTGTGTGTCTGTCTCTATAGAATGTGTTTGAACCCAGAGCTGCACAGCAGGGTCTTGAAACATACTGAGTTTTGTTGACTGAGCTCACATCCATGTCTAGTTTTACACTGATGAGCAGAATGTGGTTTAAAGCCATGTGTACTGTCTCTCCTCTTCCTCGCGTCTCGTGCTCAGGATCGTGGAGAACGGTCAGGAGCGGGTGGAGGTGGAGGAGGACGGCCAGCTGCGCTCGCTGACCATCAACGGGAAGGAGCAGCTGCTGCGACTGGAACACAAGTGAAGACGTCCTCTGCTGGAGAAGTGTTACCTCAGCACAAACATCCCAACAAACTTGAGCTGGAAATGGAGAGAAAACCGTGTAGTACTAGCGCTCTGCTATTAGTTGGATGTACATACTTAGGTTGTGTTTGTTTCCCTTCGTGTCCTCTGCCTGCTGACTCTCATTTATTAACCAACGGTTCACGCCAGAGGATGGGGATGCAGGCTTTTCTATGCATTTTGTTCATGTGTTTCTGGATTGGAGCTGTCCTTATTCTTTGGCTCAGGGTGGTGTTTTTCTTTCAGTGTTTGGGACCACAGTATTGTTCTGATATGACCAGACCCTTCTCCTGCAGTACTTCCTGTATGCACTCCACTGTGTCGCTCTGTGTGCACACGGCACACGCTGACTTCAGAAAACAATACATGACTGCTTTTTCATCTACGTGGAACAAAAATGTTGACTTTGGTTTTAACTAGTGGGTAGGAGTGACTGAAGAGCTGTCCCCTCTCTGTTTACTGCTTGTCTAACCTCTTCATGGTAATTCTGTTTTATTTATAAAATACAATGCTGGTAGGATGAGTTATGCAATTTTATATGTTCTAATACCAATGTGTTTCTGTTTATTTAATTATGCATGTACTCCTGTTGATGTTGGGTCTTAATGTTAAACTGCATTATGATGCACACGATGAAAGGCATTCTACAAATTATATATGAATATAGAAGGACTTTTGTGTACTTTGTAAACCAATAAATCTTGAGTTTCATCTTGTTTTCAGGATGCTAAAATCTGGGTTATTTCTGCTCTTAGATTCATGTTATGAGCTCCATCGTGACCGCAGAGTTCTCATGCAGTTCTCATGTTTCCTAAAGTTTAAACGTGTCTGAAGGTGAAAACAGCTACAGGAAACATTTGAACATAACTACAGCACAGTCTGTTTGATCGCTAGCTTGCACATGTAGTTTTTACCCACACAAGTCTGCATTACATCACACAGTCAGTGCTCGTGGTCTCTGGCCCACTGAAAGCCCGGATTCTGATCTGTATGAACAGTTCTTCAGATGTTGAGCCTGACCTGCAGGACGCCGGCTCTTGATTTCAAAGCTAAAATGTGCTTATAGAGCAGATCAAACATGCAGCTGAGAACTTGTTTCAGGCTTGTTCCTGTCATCCACTGCTCCACCATGCTGCCCTTTGAGCAGCACAGAAGACATCAGTGATGCCACATTACAGAACCACCACCCACCCCCGGTGTGATGTGGTGCTACCCCAATACTCTGGACTGATGCTACACCAGAAACACGACTGAAAAGGTTTTCTGTCTGCTCTGACAGCATCTGCTCCTCTGGCTGGAGCGAGTGAGTGTTGTGAGGGAGCACAGCTTCCAGGTCCTTCAGGTGACCCAGACCCTGAGTGCTGCTGACATGAAGCAGCACATCGAGTGTTCCCAGTCACAGTGGGTATATATATATATGACAGGCAGTTACTGTAGAGGATCTTCTAGTAAACTGGAAGGCAGTAGAATGTACAGCTCCCTGCAGAGATGTTCACTGGGGCAGATGATGGCCTGGGGGACTTCATTAGTTTGCATACAGTCCCTGTCCTACTGTTCATACCCAGTAGCTTTAGAGCAGAGTTTAGAAAAGAAGGGGGCAGCGTGTCAGAGCCCAACCTCAGGCTGCATGCTGTCCAGCTGCTCACAGGAAGGGAAGAGGAGCCCCCTACTGGTGCAGCACAGAACTACACTGTGTCTGCTGGGGACTAGCATCTACCGGAAGTGCTGGTCCAGTTCTAGCACCAAAGTTGGGAACTAACTGGCTGCTTGTGGCCCTCCTGCAGGGGATCACATGATGAATCATATTACCTTTTCATTCTTTCTGGGGCAATGCTTTTTACAGCTTCTTCTGAAAAAAGTTTCTAAAGACTGCACTTTACAGAAGTGAGCTGCGCTGAGCACAGATTGGGCTTCAGCAGGCAGCATTGCACAGTGATGGTAGGTGCACTGGTCCTGTCAGAGTGAGCCATTCAGACTAAATAAAGCCATGAATCGGGGCAAATACCTGTTAGGTCCTCTTTTTGCTTTCTTTTTTAACTAGACTGTAATTCCTATATGTTCGCGGTTCAACCACTTCTTTATGTGTGAGTCCGGGTTCAATAAAATCAGAAGACGTGTTGGAGTACCACAGGTCTGCTGAACGGTGTGCTGGCCTGGAGCTCCTGAGTGGAAGCCGTCCAGGAGGAGCGGCGGCAGCGGCTGAGCTCCACCAAGCTGTTGATCTGGAGCTGTCCTTGGTGCTGAACGCTCAATCCAATTACCCTCCCAGAGCGGAGGGAGGGGGTTCTCTGTCTCTATCCGCTCCTCCCGGGCCAGCTTCTCTCTCTCTCTCTGCTGTGTTTCCTTATGCAGAAAGCCGCGGACGCCTTTCCTGGGACATCTCCTCTCCTGCGCTGCACGATGCGGCTCCCCAGCGCTCAGAGTGCTCTCTGCGGGCTCCGCCGGCCGGACGGGAGGCCAAGCAGCTGGGATAACTGATCGGTGCTATGGTGGGACCTCCTGGGAAGCAAAAAGTTCTACACTACCGAGATATCAGCACTTTCCACAGAGGTAGGCCACAGACTCTCCTCCTCACCGTGAAATGTTTACTGATCCGGTTGTAGTGAACAGAGGGAACCAGGAGGGATGTGCTGGCTTCATACTTACTTTGTGTTCACTTTCTTTCTACCTTTGAAAACTTGGGGTGGACTCAGGCCTGAGTTAAGCCTGAGTCACCTTAATCTCCTGACGGAAATGAACCTCTCACTTTGGACTTATTCTGACTCTTTGTCCAGATTCTAAACGGTGCTGCTGCTGATCAGGTCTGTTTGACTGAACACAGTAGAGAGAAGAAAAAAAAGCCGCTTGTGTTTTATATTATCAGACTGTTGTTGTTTAATAAGGGAGGATGTGTCCTGTTCATTTAATGCTCACATACAGGAAACTACTGTCATCAGTTTTGTGTAATACGGACCAGATGAATACATGAAGTTTTTTCTGGTTCTGATTCTGAGATAAGAGCGTTTTGATAGTGACGGTGCAGCTTGTTTCCTGACGTAGGCTCCATGTGTCCTGAGTGTCCCAGGAGAAGATAGACAGTCTATAATTAACTAAGGCAGACTTGAGCCAGGGGAGGCGAAGCCTAATGCCGCTACTGGGATTTGTGGAACTCCATTACACAATCAGATAAAGGTCCTGCAGTCAGAGGACTTCTAACGGCAAAATAAACCTTTACAGTCCTATAGGGGACCCAGGACTGAAAGGCTCTTTATTCTATCCATTTTTTGAAGGTGGAGTACAGTCTGCATTCATCACATCAGAAAACCTGCAGAACGATGTTTCAGGATCAGTTCTGATGAGACGTGTTCTTTTCTTTGTCTCTGATAAGTCACAAGGGTTTAACAGGACTGCCAGCCTGAGGTGGTTCCCTGTCAACAATCAGATATGTTTTTTGTTTGTTTGTTTTTAAATCTGGTGCAAAACTCTGTTGTGTGTCTGCTTTTCACTAAATAGCAGCTACAGCCAGTTCTAATGTGGACGACCGAGAGACGTCTGATACAGGCTCTGGATTATCACACAGCTGCAGTCTTTGTTCTGTGTTTCAGCCAACTACACTTTAGATTTAATAAAGTGTCATGTGAACACTGATCCGTCATCAGCAGCGTCCACATCAGCCTGTGCTCTCCCAGCATGGTCCCTGCATGACATCGACTCTAACAACCCTATCCCTACACCTGATGGTGTTTTCCTTTATAAGGGTTTTTTTTTCTCTCTACTGTCACCAAAGAGCTGCTCAAAAGGAGTCACTGAATTTGCTAGGCTTCTTTCCCCAGTGTACTGCTGTGAGGTCTGCACCTCACTACGTTACGTTTCTTGAGGTGACTTGTGTTGTGAAATGACACCATATAGAGAGGACTGATTTGATTCACTGGGAATGGCTAGTAACAAGGGGGCCATAAGGGAGCCAGCAGTATGTGGAGAAGGGGGCAGCAGGGATCATGAAGCCTGATCCGCTGCTCCTCTCCTCGTCCCCATATTGTCAGCTGTGGTTTTCAGGAGTCAGGTAACTCCATGACAGCCGACTCTCACTGTCAGAACTGCCTAGTGTTACACCAGACACTGTTCAGGGACATTCAGCAGTAATGGGCAGTACTGGGCCCACTGACTGGTCCCACTTCATTACTGTACTTTGTACTGTCTGATCTTGACAGAGCAGAGACCGACATGTCGACATGAACTAAGCTGTGCCTGCTACACTACATGTATACAAGCAGCTGTACACATCGCATGTTGCATCAGAAACACAAAGTCTTGCTTGATGTCAGAATGTCCTTGAGCAGGATTTCGTACCAGATACGACTTCCTGCCTGCACAGTGTACGAATGTGGACCATAACTAAGGTGACCAGGAGACTCCAGCAGTGGTGGAGAATCTGATCACATCACCACTCTGGTCAGTTTTGTAAAACATGTGATGTCTTGTTTCTCCAGCCATGGACCTGACCAGGAGCCCAGTCGTCTGAACACAGCCAGGTGAGCTCGGTGGGCTTGGTCAACCTTCCCGTGACCAACCGGCACCATCATCTCATTGAACCTGAGAAGCTGCAGACGTTCACAGACACCACAGCGGACCTCTGTTCGACGTGACCACCCCCTTCATAAGAAGGCAGCGTAGGCAGAGCAGCCATGACAGACAGAGTGAGCTACAGCACACCCAAAGCCAACCCCCGGCCTGCAGCAGCTCCTGTCCTGCCCCCTGAGCCCATCGACATCATCCGCATTAAAGCCCGTTCCCGGAGGGTCAGACTTAATGTCGGAGGCCTCACACACGAAGTCCTGTGGAGGACACTCGACCGACTGCCCCGGACCCGTCTGGGACGGCTAAGGGACTGCAACACCCATGAATCGCTGCTGGAGATCTGCGATGACTACAGCCTCACTGAGAATGAGTACTTCTTCGACAGGCATCCGGTCGCCTTCTCCTCCATCCTCAACTTCTACAGAACAGGAAAGCTGCACATGATGGAGGAGATGTGCGCACTGTCCTTCGGCCAGGAGCTGGACTACTGGGGCATTGACGAAATCTACCTGGAGTCCTGCTGCCAGGCGCGGTACCACCAGAAGAAGGAGCAGATGAACGAGGAGCTGAGGAGGGAGGCTGAGACGCTGAGAGAGAAGGAGGGAGAGGAGGAGGACCAGGGCTGCTGTCCCGACAAGAGGCAGAAGCTCTGGGATCTGCTGGAGAAGCCCAGCTCCTCTGTAGCTGCAAAGGTAACACCAGCCAGACACGCCCTGCACACACACCAGGGAAGTTACACTCCATTTATAACAGAATTTAATTAATTGGTATTTAAATTTGCAAGCAGTTTCTATGGTGTCCAGGAGGTCTGCTGAGCCTAACCCTGCTCAGGCTGGGTGGAGAGCATCTTCTAGGTCATAGTATTTACACTCGGGCTCATTGAGATGAGCTGTTTGTGCAGCGACAGTTTTATGTCAACAGCTGTGTCACGTTTCCATGTCTCTGAAGGAGTTCAGCCAGTCTGATGTTGTCACAGTGATGCCATCTGGGTTCCCTCAACATGGGTTTAAATGGATAGCCTAACATGAGGCGTGGCATCTGAAAGCTGGTGGTATTTACCAGGGAGGCTCTGATGAGTGGACGCTGTTGTGCAACACGATAAACAAAGTTTTTGTAGCTTGATCAAACATCAGAGATACCCTCCAGATTCTGCCATTCTGCTCCAAAAGTGTGTGTTCTTTATTCTGATATGAGATCAAGATGACATGGAACAAAACCAAAGCTCCTCAGCTTGGCTCAGATCAGTGTCCATCAGATTGTTGCACATGACTCTAGTGTACAACCTAAAGCCCTAAATGCCACCAAGACATGGCTAGCAGGCTATACTGTTGTTTTTAATGAGTCTCTCATATGTTAAAGAGGCGTCTTCCACATCCTGAGGTCAGAGGAACAACATTTCATGTTGTCACAAATGCTTCATCCTTTAACTACTGATTTGGATGTTTTCAAACCATTTTGCTTCCAAAACCTGTATTCAGGCAACATGTGTCTGATACAGAAAACAGAGCGGCAGCAGCAGTTTGGGCCACGTCCAGCTGCACGTCAAGGCTCCAACACCACACACAGGTGTTCATGTCCCACAAACAGATGTTTTATTAATAGTCCCTATCAGTCCAAGAACTGACTCCGGTGTGTCCGTCCTGCACGTCGTAGGCCATCAGAGATCAGAGCCCTGTTCCTCCTTCACCTGTGAAGCACTGAGGTGCCAGGAAGAGAAGGAGGAGGAGGATTACTGCTGTGTTGGCCTGTCCTGTGCTTCCCACAGGTAGAGATGTTGTGACTGGATTATGTTCAAACTGTAAACCCTATTCTTATTTATTTATTTTAAATGCACCTAAAAAACACCCCCAGATCCAGGCACTAAGTGCTCTGCATCTGTGAGGTCAGAACAATCAGCGTGTGTCTATGGATGAGGCCACCAGGGTGACGTCTGAAAAACACTAGAAGTATTACACATTATTCTCTCTTTCTTATCAAAACCTTAAATTGAGAGTAAATTGCAGCCTTATAGCAACGAGTCAGTGACAACTAACAACCCTGATACCACAGAAATGACTGCCTCTGGTTCAGTAACACTAGTACTAAGAAGCTGTGCTCTCAGCAGCCTGCAGACGATGATGATGGCAGCATTTTAACAGGTGCAGTCTAGTCCTGGTGTGAGGACCTCCAGGGTGGGAGGGATGAAGGGTACATCTACCCAAACAGCAAAACGAACAAACAGAGCAAAGCAACATGTTTCACTTCCTCTCACAGGATTTATTCAGTCACATAGTTTGAGCTGAATGTGTGAAGGTCTGCTTCCAACAGATTGCACTGATGGTGAATGGACTTTAAACTTACTTTACATCCCAGGCAGTGACACAACACGTGGTGGCTTCATCAGAACCATCTTGCCCTGTAGACCTGTGGGTCTGTGGATTATCCAGAGTTGTTCAATAATTTGGGGACTCAACGATGACCGACAACAAAGCCAATAAACTTTCTGTTCCTTGTACCTACAGCAGTGAAACGTTCCTGTTGTGTAAATGTAAAGCTGGCTGCCTTCTTGGCTTTTAGGTGGAGCAGCGTCCCATGTTCTAACCTTGACCTGAACATAAACACGCAGCTGGATTTGGCTGAAATGTGCATTTTCTAATTTATTTCTCTTCAGAGGTTGGACCACTGAGTTAGCAGATACTGTCAGAACAAGACTCAGAGAGTTTTAATATGAGAGAGTCCAGTGTGCTGCTGTAATCTCTGTCACACACAGTCTCTCTCCATCTGATCTTCACCACAACATATTGATAAAGCAGTCTGGTGACAGAGGAAACCTCTTCAACAAGCCCCAGTTTCAAACCTTTTAAAAGGAAGGAACAATGTTTTCTGTTACATCATTTAGTTCAGAATTGCAGTGACATCTGTTTATTTTTTTTTTGTGGGAGATTAATAAAGTGTTTTAGTGAGGGTAGAGACTGACAGGTTTTCACTGATGCTGCAGTCCAGAGGTGGTTTATGAGTTCTTTATCTGATGACATCACTTGTTTTCTGTAGAAATAAGTCTGGATTTCCAGAGATGAGGTCCGTGACTGTGTGTGACTGTGGTGTGTACTGCTCAGTGCACGCTGTCTGTTCTCTCTCTTTTCTCTGAGCTTTGTGAAGGACACACTGCAGCTCAGACTCATCTGACGGTTTGTTTACGACGGCCAGCTTACTGTGCTCGTTTCATTGTCTGCAGCAGGCTGACTGCAGATAGACAGAGCATTAGTCCATTACCAACAGGCCACACTTGTCTGTTAAACACACTAAATGCTTGTCACTGTGGAAGGAATTCAGTCAGAGCACAACTTTGTGAGAGGAGAATAGAGGAAGCTTTAAAAACACACTGAAAGATGGCACATACGCATTCTGAGCTGAGGAAACCTGCTCAGTCTCCAGAGAATCACATTCCCAGCGGATGATTGTGCAGCACATGGTGTACATGCACCGACAACATCCAGAATCAGGGCAGGAAGTAGACCGAGCCTTCTGTAAATCAAGTGAAACTAATGTGTGCAGATGTGAATCCAAATGTGACATAAAGGAGCCGTTTTCTACTGATTTATCAATGACTGCATCATTTAACTGTCAGGAAACAGGCATGACTGCAAAGGGACATGGATGCAAAGCAGGTGGTGAAGGAAGCCAACAAACCTGTGGGCTGATGTTGTGAATGGATTCCCTCTGCCGAGGCAACTGCACTGCCAGCAGCTGTGATTTGAACCAGACTTGGTTATCAGTTCAGCTCAGGTTTGGGCTTTATCTGCCTCAGTCAGTACAAGCAAACCCAACCTGGAAGACTGAAATCTGAGAGAAGCTGATGTGGCTGACTGATGTGACTGACTGTTTAAAGCACGTGGTTTCACACTGTGTGGGGAGAAGCTGTGCTGCTCACCAGAGTTCTCCAGGAACGTGAGCAGCACTGAGGACTCAGGAGGCTGGAGGCTGGAGGGATCCAGCAGCACAGCATGCATCACTTCTACCAAACCACCAGCGGGCATGTTGTTCCTTACACAGAACAGGTTTCTGTTGATCTTTTGGCACTAATTTGAAAAATGACCTTCCATGTCATTGATTTCACTGATTGGACAGAATCCATGTATAAAACGCACACATGAAGTTCAGGAATACAGAATAAGCAGTGTAGTAGCTCCACGGGTTTGTGGCGTGTGGTTTCGTGTTGGTACACATGTGCCTGATGGCTGACAGAGTTGAAGAAGCTGCAGTGTGTGAGTGGAACAGGTAGAGTCATGTGATTCGTCTGCATTGGTGCTCAGGCAGCTGAACCACAGTAAAGTCTGCTCTCCATCCTCTGGAATGCATCAGGACGACATGTCGCTGGGACTTTAGTCAGCGTCTCAGATAAAGAATCACCTGTTTTCAACACCAGTGACTTCTGACACTGGTTTAGCTGTGATCCATTAATCATGGAGCAGGAGAACCAGGGTCAGGGCTTCTAAGGTCTCCTCTGTGCTCTCAGAGATCAGTGTTGAATCAGTTCGTCTTCATTCCAGTTGTTACTGTGATTATGAGCTTTCTCTGAGGGTGTTTGCAGCAATACAACAAGCGCCTAAACGATGACATGAGCTCAGTGTTGCCAGAGGAACCCAAAGCCTCCACAGTCACACAGCCGGACTCTTGGTTCTGAGCAGAGCGGAGGCAGCTCGTGGCTCTGGAGACACCTGAGTGTCTGAACAGCTGTGACCCATGTTGACAATTGCAACAGCCTGAGAATTCGTACATTTGTGGCTCAGATAAAAACACACTATCCAACAACATAGCCAAGCATAGCACCAGATGCAGGGTCCGACTCAGAGTCTCTTATACAACGTGATACATATAACTGGACTTTTCTCAACTACACATACATGACATAAATCAGGTCCATGTGCAGATAGCTATACGTTCCAAAAACACAAGTGTGCTGGACTTCAGAAGGTCCATGTGACTGTAGGAACTGTAGTGTCAGCAGGAGGGAAGCTGCTTAGGCCGCCGTGCACCGACACCAGCCTGAGCAGCGCTGATGGAGCTCAGCTCTGAGCCAATGGGAGCGCCTCCTCCAACAGGTGGGTGCCACCGCTGATTAGAGGAGAAGCACAGCCTGGTGGAGCGAACACACAGCAGGCCAGATGGACAACCGGTCAGCAGAGTTTGCTTTTATTTGGCAGTATGGATGTCAAATGTTCAAATAATAGAGATTAGTTTCATACACGGAACATCATCGTGTAATCTTCTTATTTTTGGCTCAGATTATATTTTTGACGTGCTCCCTTTGTAGTCTCACACACACACACACACACACACACACACACACACACAGGATGTTTTGCTTTCTTTTCAAAAATGTCGAACACTTCAGGCTGAAAGTTTCGTTTTCTTCACAATTTTATAGACAAATTAAAAAAAAACTACATTTTCTTTTCCTGGTCACAGTTTCTTGCAGTATGAAACTGAATCTGAAGTAATTTAGGTGAAACAAACACAGTTATATTAGCTGCATGCACACACACACACACACACACACACACACGCAGAGTATGACTTAGGAGAATGGCTTAATCTCCTTTGCAGCTTTTACCAGGACTGCTACTGCTGCAAATAGCCTGAATGTTGGCAGGTTGGATAGACTGTCCTGTCCACCGTCTGACCTGCAGGAGAGGAGCTGGGGGGAGGGGGG